GCGAGATCATTCGCAACAGCAAGCATTTCATCTACATTGAGAATCAGTTTTTCATAACTGCCACAGGTGACCAGCAGAAGCCGATCAAGAATATGGTTGGTGCTGCCATTGTTGAACGCATTGTCCGCGCTGCGAGAAATGGCGAGAAGTACAAGATGATTGTTATGATTCCCGCTGTACCAGCTTTTGCAGGCGATCTGAAGCTCGATGAAGCACTCGGTACCCGCGCTATCATGGAATGTAAGTGGCCAGAGACAGTCATGCCAACATCAAGTAAAACCAAAATTTGCTAACCACTTCATCAACTACAGTCCAGTACGACTCCATCAACCGTGGTGGTCACTCGATTTACGAGGAGATTGCCAAGGCAGGATTCAACCCGATGGAGTACATCCGATTCTACAACCTTCGCAGCTACGACCGCATCAACTCCAGTCAGGTCATGCAGGAGACAGAGCAGCGTAGTGGCGTTTCCTACACTCAAGCTCAGGAGGGCTTTGATGCTGCCCACGACAACGCGCGTGGCTACCAGGCTTACCGCCCCCCGCCTACTCAGGAATATGGTGTATACGAAATGGATGGTTCCTCCGTGCCTCAACAGCAGTATGGTGGTGGTCCACAAAGCCAGGGCAGGAAGAGCGACTATGACCGTTACCAGCAAGAAGCAATGAAGGTCGGTGGGCGACAAGGCCTTGGTGATGGACGTTGGGACACTGTCAGCGAGTGCTACATGCTCGGAGGCGAGGACATTCGTAACGTGCCTTGGGAGGGTAGCCCCGATGCTGAGATGGATGCTTTCGTGTCTGAAGAGCTATACATTCATAGCAAACTCTTGATCGCTGACGACCAGGTTGTCATCTGCGGGTCCGCTAACCTCAACGACCGCTCGCAACTTGGCGATCATGACTCTGAGATCGCGATCATCATCCACGACCCCAACACAGTAGAGTCTTACATGGACGGACGGCCATGGCGCGCGTCCAAGTTTGCCGCATCTCTTCGAAGGGAAATCTTCCGAAAGCATCTCGGCTTGCTCAAACCTCAGGACATGGAGCGACCAAATGCCAACTACGAGCCTGTAGGAATTCCCAACCAATACGATTGGGGATCGCACGAAGACCGCCAAGTTGTAGACCCCATATCTGACGAGTTCTGGAACCTATGGAACTGGAGAGCGCACACCAACACACAAGCTTTCGGAAAAGTATTCCACCCCGTACCCAGTGATGAGGTCAAGAATTGGAAGCAATATGACGAGTATTATTCTCGCTTCTTTGGCCAGGACGAGAAGGCCAAGGAGAATAAGAAGCCGTCGTTGTACAAGTGGGGCCATGTTGTTGCCGAAAACTTTGCTCCAGGCGAGCAGGGTGTGCGTGAGGTCAAGGAGATTCTCAGCACGATCAAGGGCAACCTCGTTGAGATGCCATTGCTTTTCCTGAAAGAGGAAGACATTGCCAAGGAAGGTGTGGGGCTGAATGCTCTTACCGAGGAAATTTACACCTAGTTTAGCGGACTGGTATGGTATGGTGAGCTGTACCAATTGGGTTTGGATAGCTAAAAGCCCATACTGCAATGAATACAGTTGACAATGTTGTGTTTCATAAGGCCTGCAATATGCATTATGCAAATGGCATTTGTTCAAGTCATGCATGTCGCTGGTTATGGAGGCAAAAGGAGTGTACTCCTGAACGGCGGCGAGAACCTCGTACTATCGGCGGATGTTGAATCCTAGCGCTGATCGCCCCTGGGTAAGCGTCGCGTAGGTGAACTCCCCAGATTCGCGTGCAATCGTTGTGCAATTATCTTAGGCGTACGACCTCTTGTGTCGCCATGCCTCGACTAATAACGGCTCGAAATGCCGCAATACTCATCAACGTAGCACTCCTGACCGCCCTCTTCCTCCATCTGAACTTCGAACTCTGGGACAAGAGCGCCGTTGCGCCCGGACCGGCCAGTCTGACGCACCTACCCGACGAACTCTACGACGAGCAACGAGCGAGCGACCTGTCGCACAAGCCAGAGGAAAAGCCGCTCCAAGCGAACGGCAGTGTCAAGGCGCAACGAACCGCCGTAGTAGTCGCCAGCCAAAGTTCAGAGAACGCGACGTGGCTCGACGAGTACTTCCCCGACTGGGAGAAGAACATCTACCGAGTCGACGACAAAAATGCGCCCCTCACCGTCCCCTTGAACAAAGGTCGTGAAAGCATGGTATACCTGACGTACGCCCCCCCCTCCGTCCTCCAAACATATAAACATTTCCTTTCCTCCCCCTCTTCCTCAACGAAAAAACAACAACTAACATTTCCAACACCAGCTACATAATCGACAACTACGCCTCCCTCCCCGACAACATCCTCTTCCTGCACCCGAACCGCTACCAATGGCACAACGACGATCCCGACTATGACGGCGTGCCCATGCTCCGGCACTTCCAATTCCCCTACCTCGCCGAGCAAGGCTACGTCAACATCCGCTGCGCCTGGTCGCTCGGTTGTCCCAACGAAATCAAGCCCTTGGCCGAGGCCGGGGAGCACCGCGAAGCCGTACATGCTGGTGGGGACTACAAGAAGGCGTTTGAGGAGTTATTTCCCGGGGAGCAGGTGCCCGCGGCTGTGGGCGTGAGTTGCTGTGCGCAGTTCGCGGCGACGAGGGCGAAGGTGCTGGAGAGGAGTCGGGACGAGTATACAAGGTATCGCGAGTGGATTATGGAGACGGAACTTGGGGATGCGATTAGTGGGCGGGTGTTTGAGTATTCGTGGCATAGTAAGTTGTTTGTGGTTCTTCCCCCCCCTTTCAACATTTTGTTTTCTGCGTGGATGTGTGAGTGTGTAGGTGGCTGACTGAACTGTGTGTGCCCAATAGTTATTTTCGGGAAACCAGCTGTGCATTGTCCGACGGCCAAGAGTTGCTATTGCAAAGTCTTTGGGCTGTGCGATTTGACGTGTAGGGATCAGGGGAGTTGCGAGGGGAGATACACATTACCGCCTTACTCGGTGCTGCCCAAGGGGTGGCCGTTGGTGGGGTGGGATGGTAACGAGCGTCAAAGAGCGGCATCGGAAGATTGAGGTGATTGAGATACCCCTCCCGTTTATATTCTACTTGAGCTGCTATGCTGCGCAGTGTTTTGGGAAATGATTTGCTGGCAACCGAGAGGAAGAGGAGAGTTTGGTTTGCGATGCCTCAAACCCTTTTTCACATCTTCGTGTATGGGTTTAGGGGTTTGTGTGGGCTTTCCCTGGCCCTGATGACGAAAAATCGTTACTTTTATGTGCATATGACATGCCCACGGTAATTATGACCACGATATCCAAGTCACATGTTGCTAAGATGCTAGTTTACCGCAAAAGAGAAGGGACTATATGGCTTTGGGCATTGCAAAGAGTCATTCACTAGGCAAGTGGAGAGATTGCTACTTTGCTTATCCCCCAAAGAAGAGAATTGTTCTCGTCATGTACCGCAGATTTTACCGTCAACACCAATGAGCTTAGCCCAAAAGCTCGACTCACGCGTTTGTTATATCGTTTTCCTGTCATAAGAGCAGTTAAGCATGAACGAAAGTCATATACTACATTTATTAATCATAATTATACTCTTTCAAAAAGACATCGAAGCCATATACCCTGAAGCATATTTACATCAACGTGTCTGAGCTCGAACCCGCACCACTTGCCGCGTCAGCAAGATGTCCAATTGACTTTGGCATTCCCTCTTCGCCACTGAATCCCTCATCATTGGCACAAAGCCAAAGGCCAAGTCCAATGCTCGCAATATGCATGGCGCTGTATCGAGCAGAAAAATAGCATTTATTACTGGAGCGGCTATGTTCAGCCTGACGAAGATCCAGCTCTCCAAGACTGACAGTTCATATAAGTAACTACAACCCACAGCCTGTCATGTGACTCAAGGTTACGATCGAATAGCGCGTCCAAATTGATAACTCGTAACACATTGCCAAGAATGAGCGCGTTACCGTCTACACTCATAGGTCTGCCACCTATATTGCTGCCGTCTTTTCTAAAGGGGTCATTTTAGCATTATCTATACACATTTCGTCATGTATGACCCGCTGCCTCTTTTTATTATATACTACCTGCGTTGCTCCTGGTATTTGGCATCTATACGTAAATGGGCCAATGCAAAGGACGTTAGGCTCGAGTTCATCGCTTACAGAGAATCGATATATCGGAGTAGCAACCGTTGCTTTGCTGTTTCCATACGACTGGATAGCTGTTCTGCTACTGTATCAGCTGCAGCGGCTGCAATGCGCCTTATCCGCGCGACCTATCATGGTCATTGGAAGGTTCGCCAAGAGACGCCATTGCTGCACGATCTTAAGAATTGAACGGCCGTCCCTCGCATCAGATGCATCATGTGCATGCGCGATCCTGGTAGTGGATCAGGCTGAAAAGACTACTACTATCTAATGAGCCGAGGTCGGCGGGACAAGGCTGAGCAGGTTGTAACGTGCCCATACTTGTGGACTCACAACACAGCTGACCAGAGGTTACACATAAATGAAAATGATAAGTAGATAGAGTGATACTGATGTTAGTAGTACCACATATGTTTGACAAGAATCATGGTTGCTTGTGTTGTGCACAAGTGCGGGGGTTGAAGCATGCTACAGCAACAAGAAACGTTAAGTACTCAAAGCAGCTAGCCTGGTGTCCACAGGAGACTTCCGTAGTTAGTACATAATAGTAATTTTTTTAAATCTTGGCAGTGCGGCTCTGCCGGCGTCTCACTCGCAATTTGGGTGTGCTGTGCAATGGATGACCAGATGAGAAACACTCGAAATTCGCTGCCTCGTTGAGCCTGACCGGTGTGTAACCCGAACCTGGTCATGGTCTTCATTGCACAGAGCCTCATTTAAACACCCAGTGATCTGTTCACTTTGCTAGAGCTTGTCAGCCTGGTCTGCTCAACGATGAGAGTGGGGCTTTGTACCATGATTGGATGCCTTCTACTACCAGGGTACTGCTCTTATTATCGAACGACGTATTCAATGCGGCTCTGCTCAGACATGAAATGCGGGCGTGCGGCTCCTCTGGTGTGAAGAATTAACCAGCTTCTCGCTACTCAATTAAATGACCTATAGATTTACACATTTCCATCCAGCACACGATATCACAAACTTGAGCTCTACGTTTCCGCCGTTATATTAAAAAGCTCCATCCTACTTACCGTCTTCTCTTGGACACTTTTTACTATACTCTTCGCGCGCGGTCTATGAATCCCACCTTGGACCGACTCACCTTGGAGCAACTCCCCTTTGACATTCTGTTCTGCGTGACTGCTAACCTGAGTCTTGAAGACATTTTTCATCTCAGTCAGACATGTCAGCAGCTGAGTGCCTTCATGGTGGACGAAAGGACAGTTTGCCGAAGCATAGTCGAAGTAAGCACTGCAGTGAGAAACGTCAGTGCTTTCGATCACAGCTGACGCTGCTGACAGATGGACTTTCCTTTTACGGAAGAAGCAAAACTGGCACGGACAGAAAAAATGACGTACAAACAAGCTATGAAAGCAATTTATGACAGAAGACATGCTTTGTCTACTGCATACCCATTCTCAGCACGCACATGGGGCAATGGAAACGCATTTGTTTACAGACAGGGAATTCTGTGCGTGCTTGAAAGCAAGACTGTACATGTCTCAGATCTACGCTCACAGTCACATGATATTCATATCGACCTCACTGTGATTGCTGGACCGGTTCTAGGGCCGCCTTTTCCAGTACCTAGGAATTTTGACGTGGACCTACTCAACTATGCTGACGGAATCCTTGCTGTTCACCTTGAAGAAAAGGATGAATCAAATGGTGGCTATATACTGGCTCTCGATATGGCGCACAATTGTCCTGATGATAAAAGACTGATCCAAATGGTGCGGCTTCCTTCAAGCTCCAAGCTTTTTGTTAGACACACGGCCGATTTCCTCTACTATGGTACACATACAGGGAGAGGCAGCGATGGTCACCATAAATGGGAAGTTGGCGGCGTACGTTTGAACAATAGCACCAATATACAGGATGGCGCAAAGCGGTTGCTACTGGACAACTTTCATGGATCGGACATTGGCTCTACAGTCGCGTTCGAGATACACAATGGCCACTTCTACGCAGTTTCGAATCAAACCACCTTTGAGGTTGAAGAGATTGATTATACCTCCTTCTACCATGTTGTTCGCTTCCCACTCCATTCGCCATTGCCGGCCAGTGTCGAGAGGGACGAACGGCTGTATCGTCGCCAGCACAAACAAGGGCCCATTCACGACTCTTGGACCGACCTTACACTGCAGAGCGATGAAAAGACAAACGAAATGGTGATTGTTGAGTCTAGGAGAGAATGGGCTGAAGCATCCTCGCGACAATCGCGTACATTTTACGTGACCCGTCTGGAGTTTGGAAGCGAAAATGGCACAATGGAGATTTCAGATGAACCATTACTACCGGACGACGATATTTATCTTCCGGTCATAGACTCATCTAACAGGCCTCAATGGAAGCCCACGCCGGATCTCTTCAGCTGGAGCCAACATCCAGAATTTGGTGGTACTGACCCTGCACCGCGCTCCTTCATGCTCGCCAGAACAAAGTTTCGAGCTTACAACTATGCATGCACTACTTTTGTCGATCTAGTCGAAGATCAAGAATGTTGCAATGATGCCTCGAAGCCGCCATGCCTGAGGCTGCGAGTAGGATCACGACGCGAAACAGGTCTCGACGATTATGCCACGGTCAACCGCAAGGGAAAGACCGCGGCTGTGTATAGCACGAATCCAAATTTTGTGGACAATCAAACGCGCTATCGACAATCGCCCATTCGCATGTGGCCGCCTCGAGCATCGCGTTGTCCTTGCTCGCAGCAACTGCATAACATACTCAATCCAGTGATTCCCTCGAGTGGGGCATGGTACACGAGGAGAGTGACGGGTGTGCTTGATGAGCAACGTCTGGTGTTCATGATCAAATCGGGAGGCTCATATGGGCCGAGCGGCAATAATAGCTTGGGTACTGTAGTCGTTGTAGATTTTGCTCGTCTGGCCGAGAGCAGCAACAGCATAGGCTCAGCACCTATGGCAAGGAGTGACAGTAAAATGGACGAAACTCTCAGCCTTGCATGGGAATGGCAGCCAGGGCTCGAACAGAAGTGTCGGGATAGAACGTGCTGCCAAACGAACCATGGTGGGCTGGGTAGTACTGCGAACGAGAGGGGCGCCTGATTGAAGGGTTCTTGAGGCTCTAATGGTATGCCAACCACAAACACTACCGTTCCCAAGGGCGCACTTTTGCCTTGTGGGATTTGCTGCAAGGCGTGCATGCATATGCGTATACATGCGCATGGCAGCTGGGCGCGGCTGAAGGCACAGCAAGGCTACTGCACCGTTTCATGGCCCCCAGCCCGCTGTGCTCTGCGTCATCCAACCAGACAAGTTCCTTGGGTCTCTGAAGTGCGATGTCAATATTTTACATATTCTTCAATAAACCAAAAGTAGTGAGGATGCAATACCACGACTGCCTCGTGTGGCGTTACCTGGCAACACACAGGGCTTTGTTTGGCGTGTTTGCAATGCTGGCTGTACCACTACTCCCTATCTACCCCCGTGCTATGACGCAAGCCCAGCCGCGTCACCATGAAAGCATCGACGTATTGATGGCTACTTAGTGGCCAAAACCAAGGTACAGGTACGTGCCTCGACCGAGCCATAGCCAGGCGCCTACGATAGATTGCTCAATGGCGGCTCGCGTGCTCGTGCGACACACGGGCAGTCGTGCTCAATGTTGGAACTGGGACAAACGCCGTCACCTACGTCACTGCCCGCCCACCCTGATATTACACAAAGCACGGCCTCGTCGATTCCACCACAAACCCTCACCCTCCAGACTCTTTTGCTTTTACTCCCTGCATACACGACCTTGCTCTTAACAAATCCAACTAGCATTAGCTGCAGCTACAATGGAGACCATCACCAACCTTGCCTCTACTGCTACTACAGCAGCTTCCAAGCTCATCTACGGCGACCAGACACACAACAATGAGACTGCTGGCAAGGAGCCAATCTCGGGCGAGAAAGGCTCTGGAACCGCAACCGACCCCTACGACAAGGGCAATGCTGGTGAGCTAGACGAGCCTGCCTTCTCACCGTATATCACGTGCTGAACCTGCCTTGTAGCAACCCCCCTAGCCACAGCTGACAAGACCGACTATCTTGACTCATCGAATAACGAGACGGCCGGAAAGGAGCCTGTGTCCGGAGCATTGGGCAACGGCACTGTTAGCGAGCCGTTTGACCAGGGCAACAATGGTGAGTCTACGACCTTGATGGGACGCCATATCTGTCGTTTCGTGCAATGCTGACTTCCCAAAGCCAAGGCGACTGAAAACGCAGCCGAGAAGACGTCTCGTTCGGATTCTTTCTTGAAGCTGGACCCCGTCCACCAAACCCAGGCTGAGACAAACACCTCTGCTCCCACCGTCGACTCTGCTAGCAAGAACGACACTTCCAACGTCGGCATGCCCATTACCTCCCTCGCTCCTGATACTGCTGTATTGAGCAACAACTCCACATCGAGCGCAACAGAGGCCGTTGGCGTTACCGACAAGGTTTGGAAGGACACCCCGCTAGATGACATCAGCCGCTCAGGTGCTCCAGGAGCTGGCCCTACAGCACCCAGCCATGTCACTCCTGCGACCCCCGGCCTTGATGCGAATACCGCTACCACCACCTCTTCTGATGCCGCTATCAAGACTTCAGCCCCCGACTCAGTGACGGCTTCGTCCGGTCTTTACTCTGGCTCCGAGCCTCAGCGTTCAGAAACTGATGCTGGTCTCAACAAGACCGAGGCGGAGAAGGAAGCCGAGAAACGTGATACTCCAGCATGGACCGACACAGGTGTGACTTCAGATAGCAGCAAGTACGAAGAGGACGTTGCCAAGCAAAATGCCGCTTCTCCAAAGGAGTCCAAGAGTACGTTAACACAAAAGGCTATGCATATTCTGAGTGGCGCTGACGGTATGGCAGGCGTAGCTGAGACGGAGACTGGTCGCAAGTTGTCGTCTGATAGCCATGAGGAGAAGGGCGGCAAGATGTCGCACCTGAAGGAGAAGATGAAGAACAAGCTTCACATTGGCTCCAAGGACAAATAAGCTTAGATGCTTCTGCTGCTCTACACTGCGAGGTGCTGGTAAGAGCAGCATCTGTTTGATGAAGGACGAGATTTGATACCACGGCAACGACAGCCATACTTACGAAGAAGATTCTTGTAATGACCTTTCTTTAGATAGTAATCTAATGAATTAAGCTAAGTTGAGCTTCCTTGCATGCATGGTCCAATCAATGCCACACTCTAGCCTCGTGCCACCAACTAAAGCTAGCGGGTCGTCGGCAATATGGCCGGCATGACTACATTCAACACTCCGCCTCATCACACGCCTCACTTGCCACTTGGGCACACCACGTTGACGTTGTATTGATAGCACGGACTGGACTGGACTGGATTGGGCTTCTATCACGCGGCGGTCTATCGTTGTGGTCTAACCCCACCTTCCCTTCCGAGCCCTGCATTTTCCGAGTAAGCAACGGCCATGCGCCTAGTGTAGTGATCAGCTAAGGACTGCACTGTACCTTTTTCCAAACTCAAACCAATCTTCAAGGAGTACGCCCAAATTGGTCTCTCTCTCTCTCGATCTCTCTTGTTTGCTACCTTGACACAGCACCCAACATCAACATGGGCAATATCGGCAATGAGAATGCAGTCAGGCCTGCTGACAGCACACATGATAGGATAACACCCGAGGGTGAGACACGTATATCGAGAGATTTATCTAGCTCGCCACATTTACAAAGCTACATGGACGAACCAAATATGATTCGGAAAACGGCGGGCAAGATTCCACATATTGGCATTGTTGGCGCCGGTGTTGCTGGGCTGAGATGTGCGGATATCTTGTTGAAGCAAGGTGTCAAGGTGACTATACTTGAGGGAAGAAATAGAGTTGGTGGGCGGGTGAGTAGTTTATTTTGGAACCTTTTGAAAGATTTTGCGTGTTAAAAGCCTACAGTTATGTCAAAGCAATGCGCTGGGTCACTTGGTCGATCTGTAAGTCCTGTACACTCCCAAACAACAAACGTCGCTTTGAGCGAGAAAATATGTACCTACTAACCAAGTTGAAAAGCGGCCCAAATTGGATACATGGCACAGATGACAATCCCATTCTTGATCTTGCCAAGGAAACAAAGACTGTAGCTATGAATTGGGATGGCCGACAGTCGGTTTTTGACAGCTTAGGAAAACACATGCCCGACAAAGAAGCAGCAGAAAACAGTGAGCATGTATGGGGGATCATCGAGCAAGCAATGAAGTTTTCGAATCAAGAATCTGCGGCGATACCGGCGGAGATGAGTTTGTACCACTACTTTCAGGAGCAAGTGGTAAAAATGTTCCCAGGTAACGATGAAGAGCCAAAGAAGAAGCAACGGGATATACTCGAGATGGCCGAAATGTGGGGTGCCTTTGTTGGTTCACCAATCCAAACGCAAAGTCTCAAGTTCTTCTGGCTGGAAGAATGCATCGATGGCGAAAACCTCTTTGTAGCATCGACATATGCCAAAGTCTTAGACAAGATTGCTGAACCCGCACTCAAAGGCGCTACCATACTCTTCGAGCATAAAGTCAAGTCGATTCTTTCCCACGAAACCAACGGAGAAACAACAGTCACCCTCGAACTCGAGGACAAACAAAGTCTAACCTTCGACCAAGTAGTCATAACCACACCCCTCGGCTGGCTAAAAAGAAACACAACAGCATTCACTCCCCCCTTACCACCACGCTTCAACCTCGCAATCCAAAACCTCGGATACGGCCATCTAGACAAAGTTTACATTACCTTCCCCACCGCCTTCTGGAACACTTCCTCTTCCACCAGCACCAGCACCAACCCAGCCAGCCCTCAGACCATAGCCTCCTCAGATTCTCCCATAAACCCCACTCACTACCCCGGCTTCACCCACTGGCTCAACCCAACCTACACCCCAAGCACAAACCCCTCAGCCTGGAACCAAGAAGCCGTCAACCTCGCCGCCCTCCCATCAGAAACCGCGCACCCAACCCTCCTCTTCTACACCCACGGTCCCACAAGCAAACACATTGCCTCGCTCCTTGCCTCGACCCCGCAAGAAAAGCATACAGCTATTCTAACCGACTTCTTCGCGCCCTACTACTCCCTTTTGCCAAACTACGCTAAAGATAGCAAGGACTGCACGCCAAAAGCCGTGCTAGCTACGGCGTGGGCAAACGACGAGCTGGCGGGATGGGGTTCATATTGTAATTTCCAGACTGGACTGCAGGCGGGGGATGAGGATGTCGAGGTATTGAGGCGCGGGATGCCGGAACGCGGCGTGTGGGTTGCGGGGGAGCACTGTGCGCCGTTTGTGGCGTTGGGCACGGTGACGGGGGCGTACTGGAGTGGGGAAGGGGTTGCGAGGAGGGTGGGTGAGGTGTGGGGATTAAGTGGGACGAGTAAGTAGTAGACTGGGGGAACCTTTTTATACGTAAAGGTTGTTGGAAAGTGGACATGGTAGTAGTAGTAGAAGAAGAAGACGAAGAAGTCGATTTGCAAACGGTGGAAACAAAGACACAAACAAATTCAATTCACTGGCTTCCTCCACCCGTTGTGCCATACAAGAAAGTCGTAACACTTTGTCCTAATCAGCGCATTTCTTTCTTCCTTCTATTGGTATCTTCGCTTCATTTTCCAAGACGAGCCACAGTAATCCTTGTTTAGTTCTTGTGCTCCAGCTACGTACTCGGCAATATCGTCACCCCCGCCAGCGGGCGATCTAGTCGTCGCATCGTCGCATCCTCTGCTCGTCGAGTGCCAGTGACGTCCAATGTGAACTTGACAGCTGGCCATGGACAGCGTTGCTCTACTCGTCTTCCATGCCTTCCAGCAGTGTGTGCTCGAGCACGTCGCTCAACGTGACAACGCCCTTGAGTTTGCTGTTTTCGTCAATGACCACGAAGCGGTGCACGCGTGACCTGCGGATTGTGTCGTAGATCGTTGACATGTTGTCATTCAGCGAGCAGGTGAAGATACCAGGGAAATCCTGCAAAAGTTAGCTTTGCGGTTTTGCAAGGCTAGTGAGTTCCTTACATCTGAACGCTTCAACAGGGCATCGCCGACCGTTAGGTTTAGATCGTCGTATACGCCGCCCTTGATGAGCGCTATCACATCCACGGCCTCAAACACATTGAGCACAGTTCCTATCGCTGTCAGCCATGTATTCCTGGAGTCACTTCAAGTCCTTACCTTGTTTGTCTAAGATAGGAACACTCGATATGCTCTTCTTGACAAGCATGTGTATGACGTCCATGACGGGGGTATCCATGGATGCAGTTGCGAGATCGGTATACGTGCCAACGTTCAGCTCCCTAAGCGGCTTGCGTAGCTTCTGCGTTTCCTTGACGTTCACCGCGATAAATTTCAATATGCGGTATTGTGTAATGACACTAACGACCATGGTCCTATGTGTCTCGTCATCGCTATCGACGATTGGTATACGCCGGGCGCGCGACTCGAGCATCTTACGACATGCCTCATATACGGGACGGTCGGGGTGAATAGAAATAGTTTCTATAGGCTTGACACCGAGTGCCTTCTCGATGTCTGTCTGGCGTCAGTACACGCTTAATGTACGTGGACCGAGCTTTCTTACCTCGCAAGCTGTTCAGGCGGAACTGATCTACTCGAGCCAGGGCGTCTGGATTCTGCCAATAGTACTGGATGACGTTGATGTAGTCGGATGTCGTGAGAAGCCCAGCAAAAGTAGATGACTTGGAGTCCCACAGCGGCGCTGAGACGATGCCTATGGAAAGCTCTTAGCTGATATGTCTTGCAACGCGGTGTCTGACAAGCTCACCATTCTGGTTCAGGATATTCAGACTCTTCTTTACCAACAGGGCGGTATCGAACACAATCAGGCGGTAGCTGATAGGGAGCACGTCATAGCTCGTCCTCGCCTTGAGAAAAGCTCGAATGGTTCTCTGGCCTCGTGTCAGCCTGCCCCCCATGACTCTTCACCACACAAGCGCTGCCATACCAGGCCGTCCAGCTGCTCGCGGTCGATGGCCGAAAGCTGACGCGGTTGCTCTTTCGGGGGCAAGGGGGCGCGGGATTGCTGGAGTAAATCTCTCGGTGTCACAAAAGCCGGTCGCGCATCGCTGCCGAGGGCGTTGGTCGCTGAGTCCGCCGCGTCGTGGCCAGACATGGTTTATCGCGATGCTCCTCGGAGCCGCATGGGGCGTGTAACCCCAGTAGTGTTTGGTTCGAGGGGAAGGATACAGTGGACACTAGGCTTATAAAGCCCGAGACCTTTGCAATGCCGTGGAAGATGGCGGAGGTAGACGCCCCACGATGCACGATCGTCACTAGCGTATCGTGCTCCTCCAAAGTCCATGCGCAAACATGCGGGGCAAAACCAACATCTATGAGTGCCACGGTATACAAGTTTCAGACCCCAAATACGCTGTCTCGACTTTTGCTTGATTCAAGATGCAAAGCACCCAGTTCAGACGTGGCGCACACTCGAGGAAAATGCATGCAGACCAAGTATACACCACATGCACAGGCATGCCTACAAACTATACATCACTTCCTCATCATTGATATGCGCCTCTCCACTCGCATCTGAGGCGCCTCCCCCACCCTTTGAACTATGAATTACATGCAGTGGACGCTTTCTCATCCCAACTATACGTCGTTTTTCCTCGCAGCTTTGGCGGCTTCGAGACTCAGCTCAGGGCCAGGCTCAGCCTCGGCTTCCTCCATGATAATCTCCTTTGCCGCATGCTCGACTGATGTCTCTGGCTCGCCAATCGATTTCCTTGCCTGCGCTACAATTGAGTCTGCTTCAGTGATACCGCCCTTCATCGCTGCCTGCTCTTGGTCTAAACTTGTCGTGGCCTCGTTCTTGCGCTGGCGGAGGGCTTTGTTGTCGAACCGCACAACCATACACGACAGGTTGTCGGTAGAGAAGCGGGCAAGAGCGTAATCGACGAGCTTCTTCGAGGCTTCTTGAGGATCTTGGATTTGACGTACGAGATCGACAGCTTCTTGGTCGGAACAAACGTCCCAGAGCTGTATGTGTTAGTGAATATAAATTCTTTGCATGAATACGACTTACACCATCGCAGGCGAGGATAAGAAATTCATCCTGGTCGGCCTGAATGACCGTCTCCGTGGTGTAGGGATGTCCAGTCACCAGGTCCTTCATGTATGCATCGCCCAGCGCACGCGTGACAGCGAGGACGCCATTGACGCGATTATTGAGGATCAAACCACCAGCGCTAGCAACGCGGCGTCCTTCGTTCTCGTCACTGCCCTTGTGGTCATACGAAAGACGAAGAGCTCGGCCATTCCGGCAAAGGACAATGCGCGCATCGCCCACGTTGGCCGTGTACAATACGCGTTGCCGAGTAGCCTCACTTCGTAGTTTTGCTTCCACCTGTTCGGCTGCAGGCTCAGAGGTAACGGCGTCGGTACCGTCCTTGGACTCGCCGCCTTCACCAGCTTGCTTGATAGCTGAAACTGCCGCTGGCGCAAAGAGGACGGAACCGGTGGACGATTGTGCGTTGGGCACTCGATCCTCCCATCGCAAAACTGCAATCACAGCAGTGCAACCACTGTTCTTCAAAGGAAGTTTCTCCAGCTGCTGGTCGACTACGGTAAAGGTCTGGTCAAGAAGTTCGGGTATCGGCGTGTTGGGATTCTTTCGAATCGTCTCTTCCAGGATCAGGTGAAGCTTCTTCCCACACCAGTCGGCAGCAAAAGTACCAGCATGGCCGTCGAAGATGGCAAAGTAGCCATTATCGCTCTCGACCACGGCCTGGGATAGATCAGACTGGACCGAGCTCGCATCCGAGACAGCGCGCGGCTTGTCCGTGCCATACGAGGGGGCCGGAGTGCTGAGGAAATTGTATAGGTATGCATGTGTATCCTCCATGGTCCGTCTGCATTTCTTGTTCTTGTCCTCGGTGACGCCGACGCGGAACGTGGACCGTGGACCCGGTGCGGACTCGCCGGCAGAGTTGTTGAGCGAGCCCTGGGGCACGCTGAGAGCAGCGTCCGACTTGCCCAACTTCTGCATTGGAGTTTGGGCAGTTGGCTTCTCCGACATGTGGGCGGTGTTGGCAGACGAGGTCGAGGTGGGGGAGGAGCCGCCAATGTGCAACGACTGCTTCGCGCTCGAGAACATGTCGCGGGCACGCGACACGCCACTGCTCCGTCGTTTCCGCTCGGGTGGAGCAGCAGAGTCGCTGCCCTTGCGATCAGCAGCGGCACCATTGCTCGCGCCGTGTGAACCAGAGGCGGCGTTGTCGGCCGTCGAGGTAGCCGCCGGCCTGGGCGCGTCGTTGTTTGCAGGGGCATCGATGGCGGCGCCTTCGTCGTCTTTTGCATTCCCGAACATCTTCGAGAGCAAGCCGCCCTGGGCGCTCCGGCGCCTGTTGCCAGCCAGCTTGAGTGATTGCGACGGCGCGTGTTTACCGGGTGGCGGCGACGAGGATGGGTGCAGGTGGAGAGGGGGGCGGGCGGGC